TCTTGCTAACTGTTCTTATAGCTTAAATTAATCCATTTCCATAAATCTATACCTTGCCACATGGCTGGTGGCTTACCGGCATCTTCACATGCTGCTGGTCATGGCTGCGGCTGGCAGTGTCTCTCCGCCTCAGCCTTCTGCTTCCCAGAATTCTCCTCTCTCCTTGTCCCACCTACTTCCTGCCTGGCCACTGGCCAACCAGTGTTTAATTTATTGACCAATCAGAGCAATTTGACATATAGACCGTCCCACAGCAGATCCAGTCTAGGAGAGAAACAGAGCCAGGCAGTGGTGGCACACACCTTTAACCCCAGTATTTGAGAAGCACACACGCTATTAATCCCAGGACCAGGAAGGCTGAGAAAATGGCTGGGCAGAGAAAGGCATATAAGGCATGAGAAGAAAGGAACTAGAGAGCTCCTTTTGCTGAGGACTCAGAGACATTCAGTCTGAGGATTCACGGAGACAGGATCGGCTGAGGAGTTGGCGAGGTGAGAAGTGGCTGTGGCTTGTTTCCTCTGATCTTTCAGCATCTACCCCAATATCTGGCTCCGGGGTTTTATTATAAGACCATTTAGGATTCGTGCAACAGTCTTACTTTTTACCTACAATTTTATTAATTGCAGTTTTTCTTTCTTTTGGTGAATTTGGCTGAAGATTTGTCACTTTTCTTTATCATTTCAATTAACTATCTTTTTGTTTCATTGGCTTCATTAAAATTGTTATTTCATTAATTTTTGCCCAGATTCTCATTATTTCTCTTCATCTACCTACTGCTTTGGGGATTTGGTTTGTTCTTGTATTTCTAATGCCTTAAGGTTGATCATCAGGTTGTTTACTTGAGATCTCTTTTGATTTTCTGGTAAGCAGCAAAAATAGGGATTCTGTTTTCTAATTCAGTTTGATAGACTGTGTTGTTTGTTGAGGAATGACCTATGAATTCCCTTGTCGGTCTGCCTTCATCAAACCTCATAGGTTTGCATATGTTGTGTTTTGATTTTCATTTAATTCAAATAATTTATTATTACCTTCTATATGTCTGCAATTAATTATTCAATAGTGTTCTGTCTAATCTCTATGAGTTTGTATGTTTTCTGTAGTTTCTCTTGCCATTCATTAGCTTCTAGCTTTATATCATTGTGTCCAGGTAAAATACAAGATACTGTTTCAATATTCTCATATTGCTGTGAATTGCTTTGTCTTAATATTTGAACTGATTTAGAGAAGGCTTCACAGGCTGCTTACAAATGAGTATTTTTTTTTGAGTTTGGGTAGAGTGTTCTGTAGATATCTGTTATGTCCAAATGATATATGATGTCATTTGATTATAGTGTTTATTGGATTTTTCTCTCTCTCTCTTCCTCCCTTCCCCCCCTCTCTGTATGTGTGTTTGTGCAGTTGACCTGTTTAATGTTGAAAGGGGGAAAACAAAATCATCCACTACTACTGTGTTGGGGTCAAATCTGTGATTTTAAATTGAGTAGTATTCGATGAACTTATGTTGCTTGAATGCATGTTTACATATTATTTCCTCTTGGTGGATTAGTTCTGTGATAAGTATGAGGTAAAATCTGACAAGATTTAATTTGGAGTTAATTTTTAGCAGATATTAGAATATAAATACATGCTTTTTGGCTCCATTTGCTTGGACTACTGTTTTACAACCTTTTACCTTAAGCAGCAAAAGTAGGGATTCTGTTTTCTAATTCAGTTTGATAGACTGTGTTGTTTGTTGAGGATTTTGAGACCACTGATACTCAGGGTTATTATTGAAAAGTACATATAGCTCCTTGTCATTTTGCTGATCTTATAGTACCTGGAATTTCTTGGTCTTCTTTTGCTTAATGAATACCTTAACATCATTGATTTTTTTTTCTTCCTGTAGTCTCAATTGTGTTAATTTTTCTCTTCAAAATGAAATACCCTCCAGTTTCTTCTGTAGAGCTGGGTTGGTGGTCACAAATTCTTTTAGCCTGATTTTATCACAGGAAATTTTATTTTCAACTTCAGTCATGATAAATAGTTTTTCTGTATATGTTTGACTGGGTTGGAAGCTGTGGCCTTTCATCTTGAAAGACATACATCCAAGACCTTCTCTCCTTTGTGATTTGGATTGAAAAGCCAGCAGTTACTCTGATAGGGTTGTCTTGGTATGTGACTAGGCCATTCTCTTTTACAGGGTTCAACATACTTTCTTTGTATGTATTTTATGTACATTCATTATTATGACTGGTTCTGTCTATTTGTGTTTTGTACGCCAGTTGTATCTGGTAGGTTTCTCTTTCCCTCAACTTGAGGAATTTTCTTCTACAATTTTGCTAAAAATATTTCCTATATCTTTTCTGTGAAATTTTTATTACAAACCTATAATTTGTAGATTTTATTTTTTTCCACAATGTCCCAAGATGATTACAAGGTCCCTTTATATATTAAAAAAAATTAACTTTGACTGAACTAGCATCATCTTTCTTGTGGGTTGCTATGGAGATTACAATATACATTTTAAAATTTGCTACTAAAAATATTTTACCACTTCATGCTGAATGTAAAGAATTACAACTACATAAATCCATCCCACTGATATTGCTGTAGTTTTCATATGTATTTTATAAACTCTATAAATAATATTATGTTTTATTTTTACTTTATATGTGACAGATGACAAAATCAAGAGTACATATTATCTTTTACATTTATCCAGGAATTTAATACTTCTGGTAGTTCTTCTTCTTTCTGAAGATCTGAATTTTCATACATTAAAATATATATATATATATATAAATGTTTGCCTGTATGTTTGTGTACCACAGGCATGCCTGATGCCCCAGAGGCAACAGCAGGGTATTGGATTTCCTGGAATTAGAGGTACAGATGGATGAAAGCCTCCACATGGGTGCTGGGAGCTGACCTGAGTCCTCTGGAGGAGGCGGAGCAGTGTGTGATTTAACTCTGAACCATTTCTCCAGCTCCTGTTTTCATGCTCTTGCTTCTTTGTCTGTGAACTTTTTTTTTTTTAGACTTTTTTTTTTTTTTTTTTTTTTTTTTTTTTTTTGAGACTGTTTCTCT